AATCTGCACTCCAAGGCCCACAAAGTCCTGCACCTGCCACCAACTCTGCACTTCCACATCCACAAAGTCCTGCACCTGCCACGAAATGTGCATTGCAAGGTCCTCAAAGTACTGCACCTGCCATGAAACACGAAAAACAAAAAAACAAAAACATAAACAACAAAGTCCAAAATTAAGTCGCGGCCCATTTCTCAATCGCAGGAGGAACATAGGGTGTGGTGGCAGTGGTGGCAGTGGTGGCCTCTTATGATTGGGGGGCAATATTCACCATCCCCAGAAGATGCTCCTTCATTGACTCAACCAGTGGGCGCCTTCCTTCGCGACGCCCAGCCGGTTTATCGCCCGCGGAGATTTGCGCGGGGAAGAGTTTTGGTTTGACCATTGCTCACAGAATTGTCGGTGCAATGGGTTTCAACATCGACTCCGAAGTAAGCGGTCATCTCTGTATATTATATGAAATACGATCACCTTGTGGTGCCTGTGGGGTGGTCCGGTCTCTTTTGGAAGCTTCTCTTCGTTTGGATTTGTTTTGATCAGACATCTCCGACACAGACGTCCTTGGAATCTAGATTTCGTTCTGCGGGTCAGCCGTGCTAGGGACTGGGACTGCGCAGATTCCTTGTAGTGCACTGTCATCGGGCGGGCTGATTCTTTGGCTCCAGAAAATGGTCTTGGGAAACCCCCCTGACCCAATGGGCTGTGATCTATTTTCCTTCTTCCAGTCTCTCCCTATATTCTACTACACACCCATGTCACTCATTTTGGCAGCCTGCAATAAGGAGGACCCAGCCTATAAAAACATCCATATTCTTCCACATGTTTATCCTCTAAAGTCTAAAGAATGACATGTATTTCTCACCACTTGGAGTCGAACGCTTTGGCGACCGTGTCGGGGTCGCCAGTGACTCTCTCTCTCTCTCTCAAGGTTTTCGGAAAGAAACATCCAATCTCCCAGATGCCCCGGAAAAAAAACATGTAGGTCATTTGATGAGTAGACTGCTGAATTACCCTTTGATACCCTTTGTATTTGGTTTCGCATTTTTGTAGTGCACATGGGCATTCATGTTCATTCATTTATATAATAGAGGTTTATGTTTTGACACATTTTACAGGACACATTTCTCCCTATATAAGGGTGACCGACACAACACCCAACCCCGCGCCCACGGGGGACAAAGACACGTCCACGGCAGTTCCATGTGGGGCTGCTTCTTGGAGGGGTATGCCCATTCTCCATCATTCTACATCCATTCAACACTCATACTGGTGGTTCAACATGTTTCAACCAGACCCTTTTCTGGGGAACTGGTCTATTTTCGCTTCACCTTGTTTGTGATGATCCAGAACTCGCGCTGGGACGATCCTCGCGACCTCGGCACAGTCTTTTTTCTTGTCCTGTCGGACGGTCCTGAGTTGGGCGGGAGAGAATCATCGCCGCCAGGGTCGTCGATTCGGCAGGGCATCGTGCTTAGATGATCAGAGGTCATCAAACTTGCAGTGGATTTGCTCCAAAACAGTGGACGTGCTCCAGGATTTTCATCACCATCTAAGATGTGTTTGGGGGGCGAGTTTTCTTGTTTTTTGCGCAGAAGAAAGAGGGTCTATGGGGGCCACACGGCAAAGAGCATGAATTCACATGCAAATAGATTCGTGGCAATGAGAGTGTTACACATTGGATTGAAGAAATGGTGCAGAACTGGTTGGGGTAGGACACCCGGACGTGCATGAAAGATGGCTCCCACCTCGCCAACGTTTCCAAGGAAAGCCTTCAGTTTCGCCGTCCTGGTCCATGTATCGTTGGTGTGTGTGTGTGTGTTTTCATCCAGTTCCAAGCAGAAGCGGACACCCTCATGGCAGGAGTCACTGAGTGGAGAGCAACTCCCAGATGTTCGTTGAGTCTTGCAAGGCTTTCAAAAGCTGAGTTGGGCCTAATTCCTACAAATGGAATGCCCACCAGCTGCAGACTCGACATGCTGATGCCGCCCAAAACAGCCTGCTGCGCTTTGGAAGGTCTTTCTCCATGGCAATGGTTTCACCCGTTGTTGATGTATTTTCTCGGTATGGTTTGTTTTGATTCCGCTTGGGGACACGCGTGCATGCCAACCACTGCCGAAGCTCTGTAGTAATCACTGGGTTGCCAAATCATCTCATACTTCGGACCGTGATTTGCTGGGTACTATTACACCTGCTTCAGCTGGTGGCCCATGTTTCCCAAACAAAGCTGCAGGAGAAAACGCTCCAAATGCCATAGTAGGTTGACTTCCCAGGTTGTCCATTTTTGGTCAAGCAGTCGTACCAGGTCTTGACTCCCATAGCCGTTGAGTCAATCACTGCCAGGGTCCCTGCCTACTTCCCTGGCCTTCTTTGGGACTTCAAGATAATCGAGGCACACAGCTTGGAGAGCACTCTCACTAGTGTTTTCAGTGCAAAAGCAACTGAAAGCTAGACCACTACAGGTGATTTCCCTTGTTATACCTTCCAAGTCTCGGGGGGGCTTGTGAAAGATGTGCTTGCTGCAGCCGAGCAGCACGTCCTGATCGTCCTGAGTTGCACTCGTTGAGCTGCCACTCGTTGTAGATGTGTGCCACCGGTCCTGCTGAGCAAATTTTCATGCCAAGGCGTGCGAAGGCTGCTTTGCGCCGTGCGTGACTACTCACCGTCAACACCCCTCAACACCCCTTCGCGCCGGAGATGGTGTACCATGCGTGTGACCGCACCAGCTTGCACCCAGCTCTTGTCCCCCCTACCCCCTACCAGCTCTTCTACAGGTCACACCCAAACCCAGACAAACTGTGGATGATGGAGACCTGATGTCGAACAGTGCGTCGAGCAGTGGATAGATTGGAGGTGTTGGCACGAAGAGCTGGGAGCCCTGATACGGGAAGAGTTCAAACGAAGGTCTATGAGGCATCTACTTTATCTCCTTCTATGTTTTCGAGCATTTTTTGACTTGATGAAGTTTTCACCAGACTATTTGGCTGTCAGCGAAGGAACACTGTTCTGTCGCTGTTTCAGCCGTGCTTTGGCTGCTCAGTTGGCCCTACCCACTGTCGTGAAGTGAGTAATGATGCGTGCATGAGAAAGGTGCCTGAGCCGCCCTGAACCTTCCTTCTGATTTGCTCCATGATGTCCTCCATCCCATCCAGTTGGCTGAATAAAGCAGTGAAAAATCCTTTTGAAGGAGTGCATGCCTGCAGACTCAGCTGCACAGTGAAGCAAACGCGCCCGCACAAGCTCGCCCCCTCAAGGAAGTCACCGACTGGCAAGTAGGTGAAGGAAGAAGTCAAGGAGGATGTGCCTAACCTCGTAAGACCCATGGAATCCTGGATGATCAAGAAAAGCCCACACCAGTTCCAGCAGTCCACGGTTCAGAAGGATTTTGGACGGTGGCAACAAGAAGGGTTTGTAGGTGTACCTGAGCAACCCAAAGAGCAGACTTGTACTTGTGGCACAGCAGTGTGTGACATGCTTTGGAGCAGAACATGTTTGTAACTATCATGGAGTCATTGCAATGCCTTTCCTATTCTTTCCTATGATTTACATGGTGAGGCCAGGCTTTGGGCTCTTCAGGCACAGAAGCAGTGTAGATCCTCTTATGGGCCGTATAATATTGCGCCACATATGCCCACCAGGGTTCCTTCAAGAAGACTCATAGATATAGTGGATTCAAAAGAAAAAAGTATATATGAGCAACCACTTTTATTTAGGCTTTAATAAAGTAGTCTACGGCATGCTCTATTCGCTTGTGAACGAGATAGGGCTCCCACATAATTAGATAGTGTAATTTGAGTTTAGTACCAAACAAACATGCCGAAACCTTATACATACATACACAGTATATACAATATACATACGCATAGCACGTCCCTGTCCGACTTGCGGTCGTCCGTCACTACACATCCAACAGAACACATCGTCCATACCTCGGCGACCGGGGCACCGAGGTCCGCACCGGTCGCCCCCGGCGGAGCGCGGTCAGAGCAAAAGGGACGTGCACTTGGGAGACGGAGGGTGGGGGGGTTTTCAGGCGGACGACATGGCACAGAACCAATACAGCCAAAGCCAATAGATTCAATAGATGATTGAGTTAGAATGGTATGAGTGCATTAACATGTATTAACATCATTAGGGAGACGGGCGCCAGCGATGGAGCAGATTCTTGAGCCCCCTGGGATGTGTTGGCAACTATGATGGGAATATTCGGGCAGTGATTCAGCGACGATTGGTGATGGAAGAGTATCATTGCATTCCACGGTTCGTTTGGGTTGGACAATCATCATGGTAGGTAATTACCAGTGAATAATTGTTCACAAAGGTCCCTTGATGATTCTTCTCTACCGCAGGAGACAGACTTTAAACAAATTGTCCGAAGCATAAGAAGAACAGCATCCTCCGGCCTGCAACTGGCACCATGCATATCCCACCCCACCCAACCTCTGAAATTCAGAGTGGACGTGGCTGTAGAGCTGTACCATTTGTGCCGCTGCAACGCTGCGTAATACGACCGACCGTATTTCAACCCTAGGAGCGCCCCCGTCCACGACATATCAACATGACCCAAGGATACTATTGGCTCATCACCTTCAAAGCATATCACAATCAACATTGTTTGAAGCGAATCCAAGGGCGTCACGGATCGTCGACGGTTGGAGAGTCTGATTGCCACTCCTGGCCCCAGTGCTGACAGTCGACGGGTTTGGACTGCGGAAGCACATGAGAGCCGCCGAGTCGTATGAAGCTGTTATAGGTACTGTATGCATTTGATATGGATGGATATCATGTGGAAATGGAGATGTCATACCCAGTGATACCATGCTATACCATGTTATACCCTTGATTGATATGGACACCTATGGAAGGATGTATGGCCGTGAATCCTCTATTGGTCATTTGTGCTTGTTCGAGGAAGCCAACGCCATTGTCAAGTTGTGGGACTAGTAAGGCAATAACCTTGACATCAGAACACACTCATGTGTCAGACGAGGATCCCCTTTGTCAGATTTTTAGACCCATGTGCCACAAACTCAATGCAAACACAGTCACAGCGCTGAGGAAGAGTCCCAGCTGCTTAGGAGCTCTGCCATTCCAGGCTTTGCTCCAAGGAGACTCCCGACATCAGCCCCATCCGCAACGAGAAATCCATCCGCGTCGATTCGCTGTTCGACACCCGTAAGACGGGGATGGCAGCGGCGCGGCCGTTGAAGCTTCCAGGTGGGCCGAAAGCCCCAGTGCAACGCTTGGGGATGAGGAGGGATCAAGATGGGGCCTACAGCCCACGAGGGCCCCGAGAGGGCGGGTGGTGAAGTCATTCTTAAGAAAGAAACAGGCTGGCCAGTAGGTCAGAACTGGAGGAGAGCCACGATGTCACACGGCTGTTTTACTACTACATGAATCTCCAGGCTGAGAGAATCATGGAAGCGGTTCAGCTGTTGCTTCGACACCTGCTGAGGGTTGTAGTCACGTAATAGTCTAGTCACGTAGCTAGTCACGTACCCGCTCTCCCGGCCACCACGGTGATGGTATCAGCGACAGTATCAGTGCTCGGCCATTACATCGACCGGTCATCTAAGGGGACGTGACGTTGAGGTGTTCCGTTTCGACGGTGGAAGCTCTACGGTCGCTCACTACAGGAACTCGTTTTTCTGTTTCTATTTTGGTGTAAGAACGCAATCATCAGCTTTTTGCACTGAAGAGATGTACCCAAGTGGTGCACCTATTCTTCTACAGACTTGGTCGCTTGAACTCCGCTGTCCCTCTTGGCTTGGCGCTGAAGCGCCGACGACGAAGCAAAGACGAAGCAAAGCAAACGACATCAGCGACATCTGACCTTGACGAGTTGGAAATGCCTGAGGGCCCGGCCACAGATTTTTGGATACCAGTCTGCCAAGTCTCCATTTTTGTGTCTCCATCACACCCGCAAAAAGGGTCTTAGTCTTTCAAGGCCGAAAATGCTGTAGCCCAAAGCTTGCACCATGATGCAGCCTACCCAGCAGTTCATGGATGTTAAAGACATGTAAAGACATGTTGCAGGTTTTTGGAGACTACAACCCCCTAAGGGTGAGTGCCAAAACCCCGCGATGTCCTCAATCGATTCCCTCTTCTTTCCGCGCTGCGTTGGACGTCCTGGGCCATGGAGAACGACAGTGTGAGGCCGAACACCTTGGCAGCCTTGGAGGCCGAACATCACTGGGTGAGACGAATTGGAGACCCAAAAACCATCAAAACGGCCCAACACAAAACGGTGCTCACCCAAAACATGTGTCAAGCATCTGTGCTCAGAATTCTTGCTGTTCAACCTATTGGTCGTTTTGGAGGGGAATTGTTGAGTTTTTGGACGGCTTTTCTGCCAATGGTGAAGAAAAAAGATACCAGCGGCATTATATATACTGTATAAATTTATAGTTGTAATTATATATATATATATGTTGAACATTGTGATATCCACCGAATCCACCGAGTTTTTGTTGAGGGACTTCCATGTCGACTCATTGATCGACCCGATTGCATCATGGAACGAATGGCTTGGTGGCTCGGCGTCCAGTCTTGGCTTGGCAAGCAATGAAGCGATGAAGTGATGAAGATTGATGAAGTGATGTTCTCCAAGAGACCGGAGGATCCGGCGGGCCATGATCATCGGCCCCAGTTGTCAACCATGCTTCCAACTTACTTCGTTCTGGACCACGAGCGAGAAGTCCCGCATCGATTCGGGCCATATTTGGTGAACGGAGCTGCAAACACAAACGTCAGTGCATTCAATGACCCCAAAGGCAGATCTGGCCGAAGGGTGCCGAAAAGCAAAGGGTCCTGTCAACAGCAATTTTTGTTGCAAGCGGCAGAATTGACTGGGCCCCAATTCGAAAGGCTCATTTGGATGGCTTGCTTGCCACATTGCAGATCTGGGTGCCAAATTACAAAGGCAAGCGTGTACCAACCCGACAGTTCTGTTTTTGTAAAGGTGTTTTTTCCCCCACAGCTGATATACGAACAACGCTTTTGTTTGGCTTCACTGGCGGCCTTTTTTTCCTCGGAGGATCATCCTACCTAGAAAGTGCTTCACAGCTCCGGAAACCTCCAGACTCTTCCAGCACCTTCAGGTAACCAGCTGCATCCTTCAGGTCTCCAAAAGCCTTCACATACGTAGTGTAACCTCGTCGGGCCCTCGGTCCCGTTCGGTGGGCTGACCCGTTCGGTCGGTCCGCGACCGGAACCAGGCGGTCCCAAAGATCTTGAGCATCCACGAGGTGAATCGGACAGCGCCGGCATCTTCACCAGGTCGGGAGTGTGGATGGTGGGTGCAAGCTTTGCCGGTTGGTTGGGGTCTGTGGGAGTCCTTTCGTGGTACATTCTCAGGTGGTTTTGAAGCTCTTTGGGCAGTCATTGCGCTTGAACTGGTGGGTACTCTGCCCAGATGGGTGAGATGAACGAAGCTTGGAAGAATGATGACCGATTTGGGAAGTTGTTCACTGGCCGGCTGAAGCGGATCAGGATCATTTCTGACCTTTGAGATGGTTTTGGGTGAAGAACCTACACCCTTTAAAAGGTGGATCTTCGGTTCTACATCAAACAGCTGTACTTAGAGGGGCTTCCAGGTCCGGTCCTTCGACAGTTCCTCTCAAAAAGACACGGTTTATTCAAGAAAGTCCTTGTTCTTCGAAATCCATCTGAGTCATTCACTTCCATCCCATCTGGGCGGCTTGTGGCGCACAGACTCCTTCAAAGACGGTCGGGACAGACCCCCTCAAAAACCGCCCCCAGCTTCACCAGCTTCACCACAACGGAGTCCCTAGGCCCTTCTATGTGACTCATATGACTCCTGTGACTTGCCCAACCTTCCATAGTAAGAAACCCACTGGAGCTGAACTCCCTCCCCTCAAACAGTAGTAGATATGAGATATGATACCCTCCGACTCACTAACATGGAAATGGAGAATGGCCTTTGGGAAGACGATTTTCCTCTACAAAGAGTGTCCGAGAGTTCTTCGAAACCCAACCAGAGTCCGTCCTGCCCCGCCGAGCGTTTCGCTTCGCGTTTCGCCAGCCGCCACCCCTCGCTTTAGCTCGACGCCACCATCCCCAGGCCACGCCAGGGGGAGGGGGTAGTGGAGTTTGGGTGCTGATTCACGATCCCAAGGCGAGACCACATACATGGTAGGGACTGGTAAGAAGAGCTGGGAGGATCGCAGTCACCAGGGTGTAGTAGAATCTCCTCACCTCAAACGCTTCATCGAGCATCAGGGAGCTTTTTCCTCTACGCCATCCCTGTCCAGTCCCCTGACACAACGCTTTGGGCGGCGAGTTCTCCCCCAAAACGCCGAGTTGGACGTTGGTCTCCACCAACGTCCGACCTTTCACGCACGTTTCGGTGGAGATCAGCTGTGTTCGGTCAAACATGGCCCCGAGAGGAATCATCCGAAAACGGAGTCGAGTCATGTCATGTCAGTGAAGATCGGAGACCAGTAGCGATGCCAGGAGCCCCGTTCGTAGCGTCCGATCGCTCCTAGTAGTGAGGCCAGGAGCCCCTAGCGTCCGATCGCTCCTAGTCCTTTTCAGTCCTTTTCGGAACTTGGGACGCTTGAACCATGAGTTGACCGAACTCTGCTTGGACATCGCCGAACTCCCCTTCGGTGAGGCACACCTGTGAACCGCGTGAACTCCACCAAGCTTCTAGGTGCGGTGGTGAAACGGGGGCAGACGATCCAACATGTACAAGGGTTTTTGTAGTGCATTGGGACGCTTGCGCCTGGGCCTCCGAAACCAATTATATATATAACCATTTCTAGCAAGATTGTGTCTTACACCAAAGTTTGGGATTTGAAGCCCAGGGCCCTGATTTCTATTTTTTTAGAGACAAGATATCTTTCAGATAGTACCTCACCACAAAAATGGCTTTGCCGCAACCAAGCGGCACGGTCAATTCAGAGGGCTCTGAGGGCTCGGAGGGGTCCAGAATGTACGCCAAGCGGTCATTTTGACTCAGTAAAAGATTTGAGCATACAGACCAAGAGTGCCCAATTACAGATGATGAGTGAAAACTCCTCAGGAGGACTTGGGCGAAAGATTCTGGTACTCAATCTGCTAGCACTTAAAGATGCTGCAGTAGCACACTGTAACCTTGGATTTCTGCCAACTGATGCTGGTTGGGTGGATTGGTTTGATGCAACTCCTGAACAATTTGCTCCTCGGAAGCACACTACGAGCCCAAGATAGCCCAAGACCGTCACTCGTTTTGACATCCATGTTGTGACTGAAATAGAACATGCTGCATGTATGCCAATGCTGCGGCAATGTGCAATGTTTTGAGTCTGCCGTGTCAGTGGCTTGATGGGGGTTCCAAGTGCTTTTCAAGACGACAAGTGGATGAAGAGAAAGAGTTTTGCACTTCACTATGGACTTTGAGGTTGGCAGAGCCCATCAGAGGAGCTCAATCGGTTTATACAATCAAACTAAAAGATACCCACGGTTTCCAACTCATCGTGCAACAGGGCTTCAAAAGGTCGGGCAAATCATGCATCCAGTATACAGGTATGCATTGATGGTTCATTGTCCAACTTGATTGCAGACTCCTTGATGTTTGCTTGAGTTCTGGGTTTTAGCTCACCAACCCAGAGACACTCACTTTTCAGGCGGCTCAACAGGACCATGGTAGCACGTGGTAGCGTGTTTTTGTCTGTATTTTAAACAGAATATCAGAGGATCTTAAGGATCCTTTCGCACGCTCGCGCTCGCGCTCATCACTCGTGCAGGGGATGACATTGTCCCCCTGGGCGACGAGCTGAGCCATCGGTGCCCGGAGCCGAACCGAGCACCGCCCGCGCCGAACCGAGCGCCGCCCGCGGAAGAGGTGCGGCGAGCCACGAGCGGCAGAGCGTGAGCGTTTCAGCGCCGAAGGGGCGAGCCACGCGGCGCATGTTCCGGTGAAGCTGTCGGGTCGTGTGGCAGGGGACCATATTTTTGGTTCTGCGCCACATCCTGACTGATTTGGGGACCACATGTTCCATAGAATCGGATAGAAGCAAGATGAACTTCAGATGAACCAGATCCAACCAGATCCTCAGAAGTTCTTAGAACTTCATTCTTCACAGATTCACAGATTTTCACCAAGATGTTCATCCCTTGCAGTGGCGCCCAAGGTCTTCATCCCTGATCAGGTGGATTTCCTCTCCGAGTTCGATCCCTTTCGCAGCGACGCGGCGGGAGCCGTCACGTCCACGGCGTCCGCGGCGGCTCCGGATGTGTCACTGGGAGAGCACGGGACGACCGCGGACGCGTCGTGGCCGTTCGACGGGTCTGACCGGTCATCGTCAGGTTCCTGAGGTTCGGAGTACCATCCGGAATTCATGAGGCCGGGAGTTGGAAAGGGAACACATGGCTTTTCCACATCTTTCCACCGGAAATCGGCAACATGATCAGACCTTCAATGACGAACTCGAGAAGGGTAGAAGGAGCACTCGAGTTTTTCTCCAAGATCATGCTTATATGCTTAAGGCTTGATTGTAATTCCTCGGGTTCTGGTGAATCAGCACAGCATCGCCTGCCAGATGTTCCGAACAAGGGTCAAGGTCAGAGGTCACTGGCGGCCAGATTGAGGACTGCAAGTCAAGTGGTCTTGAAGATCTCCATGCTTTGTGTTTCAACTCTCCAAATACCAAGTAGCTGGGGTTTTTGAGCGTGGTATTAGGGAGGGTCCCCAGTGTCTTCCAAGTCTCAGTGAATGACCAAAAAGAAGGCCATCCGAAGAGGGAATACTTCAACATGTTCAACTTGATCTTTGACTGAACCTTTTTGTTCAGGAACTGATTCCACAATATTCCATTTGATCCTGGAAATAATACTGCATCACGACCTCTTTGGTATATGCTTCTTTCATTGCTTTTGAGTCTTGCCGGTTTAAATGGGGGAATGAGAAGGCCGGCGATGTTTAACACGCGCCGACGTGTTCTGGTGCTGTAGGTCATCGAAGACGCCGCCTCCTGTTCCGTTGAAACACTAAAAACGGACAAACCCAAAAAGGTCTAAATCTAAAAGATTCTATAAAGGTCTAAAGAAAAAGAACACACGAAAGAAAGAAGAAACCGTGTTGTTGTGGACGAAAATCTAAGTGTTGAAAATAAGTTGGAGATTGGTGCAAGAATCGTTGGTGGGTTTTGCATGGTTTGGCAATGTGACCTGGGTGAAGTACTACAAGCTAAACCTGTTGGTACTCTCAACTGGGTGTAGGGTGAGTTCAAACCAGATAAAGAGGCTCTGCAGCACGAAGATCCATCAAGTGCGTTGTTGAATCCTTTGATTGTGCCTCGCTGTTGCACTGCTACGCTGATATGATTCTGTCCGTGGTCGTAGAGTCTTGATGAATAACACCCGTAGACAGAGATGGTCAAGTCTCTTCATACGTGTCGTTTTTTTCCCATGTCTTTCTTCATCAAGAGTCTGCATTCTCATACATTCTCATACATTCTCATACATTCTCCATTTCTCTCTCTCTCTCTCTCCCCCGATTTTAAAAGATATGCAGCAAGTCTATGTCGAACCGCTCGAAACGGATCGCGAAACGGGCCGAGGGACCTGGGAGAGCTCTTTGCTGAGCTGGATGAGAGGCGGGGTGCCTCTGCAAGGGCCCCCTGCAAGGGATGCTGCAAGAGGTCTCAAAGATCATGTCGTGAGGTCAGGATGGTCAGGGCGACCTCCAATTTGGAGTGTGTGGATTTTAAGAGGGAGACCTCCAATCGCCCCTGGCTCAATAGACTGGCCTATTTCCCGAACCTTCCAGGGGCCTGGGAGGTCTCCCTATTTCAATACACCCAAATGTCACGGGGCAGATCAACACAACTGATGAGCTTTTGCATGCTTTTGCAGGACGAACAGTTGGGGTTGGGGGTCGCCATCTGTCTGTGATGTAACTTCTTTCCTCCACCAGAAGTTGTTCCATTTCTGCCTTGATTTTGCCTCGATTTCCGGTCCTGATCTAGATTCAACCCAGTTTTGGTCATCATCTTTCGACTTACTCCCCAACCCTACCCCTTTGGTCCTCCAACCTCGCAGGCCTCACGCCGACACAGCGTGCTCTGTGGAGCGTCCCCAGCGCTTGGTGGCAGAGCTGCCCAAAGAGCTCGAGGCGTTCGCGACCGGGTTAGGCTGGCTGCGTTGTACGGTTCACCATCGGTGCAGTCGGGACCGATGGCACAAAGCTGCGGTTCCAGACCACAAAGTCCATTATTAGACTTGTTCCAAAGCGATGATACCAATCTTGGACATGTACAGGCATCCAGTCTAAGGAGTGCTTGCCTATTTCCAGGCCTTGCATTTGCTTGGAACGAAGACTGTGTGTGTGCAGGATCCTTCGCCGAAAGCTCTGGCAGAACCACTGAAGGCTGGCGTGCGCTCATGCAGAGCGAGACAGAACTAGACAGCATCATGCACTTCCTGTTCCAAAAAGTTTGGGGAAGGGCTGAAGGGTAGCTTTGGTTAGCTTCTGTTCAAGTTCATCACCTTTTCCAATGAAATTGCTTCATCTGACTCTTGACTTGTTGCGTTTCTGTTGACGTTGCAGGTTTCTGCTACATAAGAAGCAAGAACACACTCATAAGCCACTAAGTGGGCATGAAAGGTGTGCTCCTCATTGTTTCTCTACATAAATGAGTTTATAAATTTTGTGCAGTCTGAGTGTTTCCCTGGTTGTAGGCCGCACTTCCATGCGCGGAACCATTGTTGGATTGCAACACGATAGTGCTCTCATGAGCTTGGCTGCCAGTGGCCAGGAGCATCAAGAGCCCAAAGCCTCCCGCCTTGTGGCAGAGCTGAATACGCTGAACGAATCCGAAGTCGGGCTCCTGGAGAGGCGTCGCTTAAGGCTTAAGGATGCAAGTTATGCTTTTGGTATATGCTTGGCATCACCGACATCCAGAGAATCCGTTGCATGATCATCCGGCCCCATCAAGATGTGCAGTTGCCAGTTGATAGCGGCTTAAGTCTAGATTCTCAATCTGTGCTGCGAAGTCTCGCACGAAACCCTCGTTTCTGGGTTGGGCGAAATGCTCATTTTGGAGACTTCCATCAATTTGGAGGAAGGGACGTGAGCGAAGGCGTCTGCAAGACCAGAAATTACTAGAAGAAATCCTTGAAAATACAAGGGTTGATTGCAATCCTGCGTTGCATATTACGACCTGGAAACTGAAGGTGTTGGTCATAATTCCTGGATATTTCCACTTGGCACTCGGTTGTTTGGGCTGTGTCCGGCGGCCAGGCCGGTGGATGGATGGCCTCCAGTGCCTCAAGTGTCACAATGATTGTAGAGATCCATCATGTCGTGTAGGGTTGGGACCCGTGCCGACCCGCACCTACCTGCTGGCAGCACTGCGCATCACTGCCCACCAAAACTCACCAACACACCCAGCAACCACCATGAAGAACCCACCGTACTACCCAGGTGGCGAAGCGCAAGCCGCGACACGAGCGGGGGCGGCGTTTGAAGGCCGAGCTGGCAAAGGTGGGGGATTCGGCCCGCGTTTCGCACGTTGTTTGAGGTGATGTAGAGTGTGCATACCTGGGGTCTCAGTTCGTACCGTGGAACATGAATACAAGTACCATCAAGTACCTGGTCTTTTGGGGGTGGTCATGTTCAATTTTCTAGGGTACTTTGGGTAACAGATCGCCTTTTACTTTTGATTGGTTGGCGATTAGAGGAACAAACACCCAGTTGGTATAGATATTTGATGATATTTGGTGCCTGCCGACCTGTCTATTCTTCCCACAAGGACATGGTGAGGTAGTCGCTTCGGAACGCAGAAAAACGATCGCTTCGGAACGCGGCAATGTGATCGCTTCTGAACGCGGTTCATCGCTAGTGGTTGGAAGCCATCGCTACTACTATGGAGGCCATCGCTAGTAGATTGGAGGCCACCGTAACCACTAGCAAATGAATGAAGGATGCAGAGCATTTGTGTTACATGGTACTGTGGAAGCAATTAGCAAAAAGAGATCATCATGTAGATGAATATCCAGAGGGACGTTATTAACACCCACCCACCCCATCCCCCCCACCCCACCCCATCCTTCATCTTTAAACCCTCCCCATCCGTGTCTGTGTGTGTGTTCTAAAGTGACCCAAAAAACCAGGTGTGTTGTGTTCCAAAGTGATCTCGCTTTTTATTAACCCTTCCATGATTTTGGGTTGTTTTGTGTTCCAAAGTGACACATCTTTTGTGTTCCAAAGTGAACTAAAACCCTGTGTTCCAAAATGAACTAAAACTTGTGTTCCAAAGTGACTCTCCCACCCAAGGACATCAGTGGCAGGGTGGATAGTTTTTCCTAGCTGTTGCAGGCAAAGCAGGGAAGACTCCGACCAGATCTATCCAGTCGCACCGACCAGATCTCACCAGTCACACGGAAGGTCTGTTAATGGATGTTAATGGTATTTCACCTCCATTGCAAGGGGCTCAAGGATGTGTATGAGAATGCTGAAGATAAGACTTGGACGCCCTTTTTTGCACTTTACTAAAGCCTTATGGTCGCCAGCTTCACTGGCATGCATCGAATCGGACGCCTTAATAAGAAAATGGCAGATGAGAAAGACTTAAACATTTGTTCCTTTCTTAGGAAGCTGAGAGAGAGACCCGCGGAGACCCGCTGAGACTCCTTTCTTTTTTTTTTCCAGCAGTTAATCGAACTGAAACGCGGGATAACGCGGGTTGGGCACTGTAGGGCACTGTTGGGCCACTGTATACACCGGTAGGGCCCTGTAAAAAAGAATGCACGCAGCTCTTCTACGCCGGTAGGGCACTGTTGGGCGAGCCGCCTTCGGAAGGAAGCTTGAGCGGACCCACAGGACCACCACGGACCGCTTGCACCACCAAGGATGCGATGTCCGAGATTTCGGACGCCAGTCAGAGGTGTTACTTCCATAAAAGATGGCCTATCCAGTCAGAGAAAGACATTTATTAACCTTGTTTGGGAATTGGTTTCTCCCACTACTGGTAAGAGGTTAACCTTGCTTTCTGCAGGAACACCGAAAAAGTGAAATTGGGATGTTCACAACAGACGGGCAAAGTCAACCAACAAACTGCGACGGTCAAAGCCTTTGGATTTGCCTTCCTTGTCTGACTGGTCCTCGCGACCTCCATTTCCGGGATTCAACATTCACATCCATGTAAGCTAGGGCTAGTACGGCTAGTAGCAAGAAGATACCTTCTAGGGCATCGCTATTAGCAACAGGTGCATCGCTACGTTCGTAGCAAGAAGCTAGCTGGGGCATCTTAATGGAGCTCCAGGGCCAACTCCGCGGAACTGCTGGGTACACTCCGAAAGAGCCCGCCTGCCTCCGCGTTTGGTTTGACCTGGTTTGGAAATCAACCTTCAATCACCAAGCACGTTCACAAATCCTAAGTGGAAAAACTGTACCACTACCATTCTCAAGAACACTCTCGACGGGACAAAGCGTGCGTTGTCGGGGACGGAAGATGGATGTGGAGGTGGACGGGGTTGCGAAGGGAAGATGGAGGGGAGCGAGACGGGAGGCGCATGGGTGGGGACGGGGCTGGGGGGAGGGAAGATGGAGGGGAGCGAGACGGGAGGGACGGGGCTGGCGAGGGAAGATGGAGGGGAGCGAGACGGGAGGTGCATGGGTGGGGACGGGGAAGATGGAGGGGAGCGATACGGGAGGCGCATGGATGGGGACGGGTCCGGGGAGGGAAGATTGAGGGGAGCGAGATGGGAGGTGCATGGGTGGTGACGGGGCTGGGGAGGGAAGATGGAGGGGAGCGAGACGGGAGGTGCATGGGTGGGGACGAGGCTGGGAGGGAAAATGGAGGGGAGCGAGACACATGGGTGGGGACGGGCTGAAGAGGGAAGATGGAGGGGGGCGAGACGGGAGGCGCATGGGTGGGGACGGGGCTGGAGAGGGAAGATGGAGGGGAGCGAGACGGGAGGCGGGAAGATGGAGGGGAGCGAGATGGGAGGCGCATGGGTGGGGACGGGGCGAGGATGGAGGGGAGCGGGAGGTGCATTGGCATGGGTGTGGACGGGGCTGGGGAGGGAAGATGGAGGGGTGCGTGGGTGTGGACGGGGCATAGGTGTGGACGGGGCTGGGGAGTGCGTGGGTGTGGACGCTTGCGCGGCTGATGTGCTAGTTACCAGGACATGGTTGCACCACAAGCATCATTGCAGGCTGCTCCGGGTCAGTGCACAAGTAGAACGAAGCATGGGTGGGGGTAGTGCTGCTCCATGCTTCGCGGAAGCCCGTTGGGAGGTGAGTGGAGCTGTGTTGCGGGGCTGATACGATGGTGTTGGGTGTCCAAAATGTGCACAATGCATGCGCCAGACAGTCAAGTCATGGCCAACACGGCAGGATTGTTGCGTGCCAAAAGCGCAACGCGTGAAATTGGATGGTTGGAACGAACCATGGAGGGGGCTGATGCTGCTCCATGCTTCCTGGAACGGTTGTCAGAAGCCATGTTGCAATCGTTTTATGACCGCTTTGGAGGGCTTTCAAAGCTGACCAAGGGGTGGACGGGGGTGTATATGGCAGACAGGGGTGGACGGATGCGCACCAGAACCGCGATGCTTGAAATACCATGGTTGCCACGAAGCCTGGAGGGGGCTGATGCTTCGTTTTGGCCTGCTAATGTGTGTTTGCTTATTTTTCCTGGATTGTGCGCTTCTTTTTGCTTTTGGGTCCGCGGGCTCACCTTGTTTTTTTCCAGTTCCATGTTCGTGACTTGGGGGGCTACCTAACTTTTCCTCTTTTCCCCTTCTTGTCCTCCACGAACGCGCGACGTGCTCGCAGGGCTCTGGCTCGGGGGCGTTGCGGCCTTTGCCGGATGGCTGCGAGCTGGACGCGCCGTCGATCGACCTGGAGGCGTGGGGGTTCTGGACGTCCTCGCTGTGACGTCGTGACCTTTGTTGAGAGGCTGAAGTGGCAAAAGTGGGTTCCACCGAATCATCCAGTGGCTGGACGAAGACATGTGTCTCCTGTAGGTAGGAGTTGGGTATAGTTTGATGCAGTTGCAGGGGCTTGTTTTGGAGGACCAACTGTGCAAAGTCTGACAGTTCATCCATGACCTCTAATCATTCCAACCCGCCCAACTGGGCACCTTCCCGTTGCCCGACCCCACGAAGTCTCGGGGTCGGGGTCTCCCACACCCGTCGACCGTCTGCCCGATCGACCGTCAAGGACCGTCACCCACGTCCCAGGTTCCGCGAGGGCGGCCCTGGTTGGAAGGATCGCATCGGCGAGGCCGAAGCGACGGCCTCGGGAGAACCCGCGGTTGGACCTGGGCGCGAGCGGAGTGGATCGGATACCAGGCCGGTTGGAACGAAAAAACCAGGGATCCAAAGAGAAATGCCGGTAAAGGATGATACAGGATGATCATTTTTGGGAGGTGGAGGATTTGGGGAAGGTTGCTGGGGATGAAGTTTGTTTGTTTTCGGTGCTGGAGACGGAGATGATATCGCGAACAATACAAGGATGAGGATTTATACAACAGAGATCTTCTGAGATCTCAGGATTGCAATGAGGTCTAGAGCAAAAGTCTGATTCCAGGCTCCGTTCCTTGAGATCTCTGAAGTGTTTTTTAATGTGTTTAACTTTTTCTAGACACCTCCACCTGGATTCTTGCGAGGGAGTCACTCTGCGATCTATAGATGTCTCGTAATCCCAACTACCTGTTCATCTCTCTATCTAGTGATTGTGATCCGTTTTCCCCGAACTTGGAACTTTGAATGTTCGTTGCGCACCACATTCTAACTGTGGGGTCCGGATTAGCAGGGCGAAGGACATTCCAGCCCTGTATCTTAACATTTTGGAAACAACATCCACATTCTAAGTTCCAGTCCGTAGATATAAACCAGCTGTTGGGATTCCTTAATTCCTTAACTAACCCTGAAGGACACAGCATACTGCCGGATAACTGGAGATGTTAATTTGGATCCCATTGTATTGTTGTGGGAGCTTGTCACTTCTCAACCCTGGAGAAGCACATGGAGAACCCCCAGCTGCTGTGCTCTCAAGTCCAGTTGTGTGGAAACTACCCAGTGAGATAATCTGCAAGTCAAACTGCACCGTAGAACCATAGGACCATAGTTTCTGCATTGCGACACCCATGTCTTGGTTTCAAAAACAGGTGCCCAGTCCATTCTTCCCGGTCAGCTTTCAAAGGCCAGGCACTTGTTGAGAGTTTTGAAGCAACTGGTGCCGGGTTCAGTGTCCTTTTCCGATTCAAGGACATGGAGCCCGGTCGAAGTTTGGCCGATTGCTGGGTTTCCAATGACTGGAGGGATGACCACAACCCGGAAAGTTCCGGGTTGAGTTGGGTTCTCCTGTTCAAGACTTGCATAATCTTGCAAGTCTTGAATCTAGATCTGCCAACTCATGCTAAAGCCCAACTCCGAATCGTGAGCCATAAGAATCATAAGACCCTTGACATCACGACATCTTTTGAACATCTTGGGTCTGGGGTCTTCCCCTCATCACCAGCCTGGCTTTTCTCCCCGCCCCATCTCAGGTCTTGATGCCACCGTGCCTGTCTCCGACGCACTGGACCGGGACAAAACAGTAAAACCAAAAAACCGTCAAGATCTGAAAAGCAAGAAGTTGGTCACGTCATTTCATCTCTGGACATTTTTGTTGAAACCTGGAGCGAAGAGGGTGGTTTTTGCGCTGCCCCCCCCGGTTCAAAGCGCACTGCATCTCACGGTCTCACTTGTCTTCTGCTCCGTTGCGAGTGGCGAGGACCTGCAGCGGAGCATCCCTCAGACGCTGGGCCTGGTCTCATGTGCTCAGCTTCACCAGCTGCACTGGCATTAGAAAGTCTAACTGAGCTTTAGAGTCGGATTCAAGGGTTGATGTTTGCAGGTGTAAGCCTTTCCCATGGCTTTACGAGGCTGCGTTTTCCCACATCGGATCAAACTGGGCGGACATCTCCCTTTGCCCAGAGGCAAGTGGATGATCGGAAGCTAGCACAGCCAACCTGATACAGTCGGCTTCCGCCAATTATGAAAGATCTGCCACAGCCAGCTAATTTTGGGGTTCGCTTTGTGGTGCGCTGTTGTCTATCATAGCCTAGGTGCCAGTCCGCGCTGGATCTCTTCTCTCATCTTAGTTTCATGGAGCCTTTGGGTTTTGGAATCGCAGACTCCTTTTTCCCAAATCTGTGGCTGTGAGTCAAAATCAGGATACCTTGGTAACACGACTTGCAGACACTGAACGCTCCCCATGCACCCTATGCACATACTCAGACACCGGGTGAATCAGCGGATCTCCTGGTTGACCTACCGACATCACGTCGGTCGCGACCGAAGGTGGACATGGTCGGGCGAACATGGTGGACTGCGCGATCCGAACCTGCTCAGGAACTGGGAAATCTGTGAGCGTCCCGCCAGCTCCTCACAGGCGGAAGCCTCGGGTTTTTCGTGATTCGAGGCGGGCGAGGAACGGATGTGCGTTAAAAGAGAGGGCTTCCCAAAGCATGCTGGTTATATAGATGATTAGATGATATTCAAGATCAGCCAAGTTTCAATCACAGTGTATGAACCTGTTCTTGGGGTGTGATTCGCTGGTACTGCGAGAGGCACAGGGTCGACAGCAAAGGTGGACTGGTGACTTCAGAATCTAATGCTGGGTGTGTGGAAGACATTGGTTTTGATCCACCGAACGCCTCATAGGTGATGCTGGGAGTGTCTTTAAAATCCAACCGACCAGTGGCCTCCAAGCCTACTAGCAATGGCCTCCCAACCTACATGTATATGAATTGGAGACATGACCCCCCAAAATGGACAACTCAGCAAAGGATGGTTGAATCTTCCACCTCAGAGTTGGTCATGTCACATGTCCATCATTGGGGCATCTGCCCATCTGAACCCTCGGTTTTCCTTCGTTTTTCCAAACCGGTTTTCTTCGGAAAAAGCCACGGCGGCCGTACCGAGTCCCTCCCGGTCCCTGCCCCGAGGCCAGGAGCCGCAGCGCGGACCTCGTCAGGCGGGGCTGACCTCGACCTGAGGTGCTGCACACGAGCACCCTGAGGCAGGTAATTACACAGCACGTAGACCTGAAGCATTCGTTGAAAGACGGAAACCATTGGGTTGGGCGTTTTTGAGGCCATGGAGATGAAGACTTGGAGATAGTGCGGTTTGTTTGACGCCCAGAAGATCAAACCCCCCAACAGATCGGTATCCTGTCACAGGTTTCTTCTGTAAGTCATGAAGTCAGGCTCAGCCATCCCATGATTCTGGGGGCGACCCATTTTAAAAGCATGTTCTTCAGCGGACTTGAGCTCACCTTCAGTGAAACCCTCGACATCGAGCAGAGTCAAGTTGCAGGTCTGGCATGGTCTAGTCACAGTTGGACCTTTCCTGGAGCCCCCCTGGGACGTTCCGTTGCACCAGTGAAAACGGAACACCTGGATTCCGGGGGATGTGGACTGTCCCCACACCGGCCTATCGGCCCAAACGAACACGTACCTGTGCCCCAAAACGAACACGACTGCAGCACTGTTGATGGAAGAATGCTTGCTCTGCTCAGCAGCCCCATGGCCATAGCAGGATATAGCAGGTATATTTTTTCTTTGGGAATCCTAAGGTTTGAAAGACTGCATGGTGGCCATTGCTTTGACCCAAACTTTCATTCCAAGTGTACAAGAGTTGTCCTTTTGAAGTATGTTGAACTGGTCTGACTGAAAACATATCCATTGTTGTTTGATGCTTTTTTTGTTCTTTCGCAAGACTTTGCTCTCGGAATCAGAGGCCTGCTCCAGTTGAGTCAGAGGCGGGATATGGCGGGATTGAGGGAACAGTGGGTGTTTTTTTTGGTGGAGGACCGCCCGAACCATGAGGACCGAGCCTTTTGATGCTCCCTGATTTCATGGATTTTTGGTCCGTCCAGCCCATTGATGTGCAAGGCTGATGGCAGAACCAGGCTAGACCAGATAGGGCCGTGAAGGCTTGAGCCATGTAGCACTAAAGACCCTCCACCAGAAGGAAGCCCCCAACGCGCAACGCTTTGAACCGAAACTTTGAGCCTTCCACGTCTCAACTCGAAAAGCTGAGCTCAAACACATGGTTCGAGGATTCGCACCCCAAATCCATGCTGGGCTAGCAATCCAGGGGTTCCATCCATGGCCGTGGAACACCACACCGGTGAGGCATTGCAGAAGCGGAGTGCTACAGCCCTGCAGGCCGGGGAACGGTCAGGGTTTGCTGGAATTGGGTCTCACCATGTCTCACCCTGGACAAGACCTTCTGAGCAGTCACATGATAGAGTTCCACACTTCTACATCATGATACTCATGGTTCCACTTCTACAGAACCCCGTGAAACAAACGTGTCACCGATAGGACAGATGACACCGTGTTTGACCCGGTCAGGTCTGTGGCACCTGCCACCGAGGACTCGGGTCGGAAACTGCCTCAGGTCTGGCAGACTCCTCAGGTCTGGCAGTCTGTGCGAGAACGCGAGGCCGGGAGTGGGATGGACTGGGCAACAGAGACATGGACTCATAACACCTGAGGCTACAAGTTTATAGATGTTTATGGGCCACCCCTACGGTGAAAAGGATGAGGTGCGGGCCCCTTACAGCATAAATGGATAGTTTTGGAATTGTCCTGCAGCAGGTCACTCTTTGCTAGCTTTGGGCTGGCTCTGGTAGATTCGCACTCTCTGTGTTACAAGGAACATCAGTGTATACCAACCCCCAAAATTCTATTTGTAATTACAACCTATATATATAATATATACTATATATAGTTATTGTATTTTTGTACTATCAGTGTCCACATGCGCATATCCTGCACTTTGTTTTGGAGCTACTTTCATCATCTCGACGGCCCTAAAACCTCAACGTATACTTCTGCATGTAGACTGTACAGAAACACTGACGCAGGTGGAATTCGTCTAGAGAAGATCCAACCTCCATCAGGTGTGACATGTGAAATGGTTCATGGCTGAAGCTCGGTGCACTACTCCGCCGTGTTTTTGCGGCTCAAGTGGCCCATCAGCACTACTCCGCGCACATTGCCAAACGCGAGTGAACCTACGCGCAGCCTCCTGTCCAGTCACATGGGAAGCACATCAGCTTTCCGACCAGCGCCTTTGCTGAAGGGAGCTGTGGATGTCCAATGATAACATGTAGCCATGGTTCAGCCATGAAGAGGGTGCTCTGATGTTTCTTGCATCAAGGTGACCTTTCATGACAACTCTTTTGGGGTTTTCCATGGTTTTCCACATCATCAGCGATGCCTTCAAGATCCCAACAGGTCCGCAGTTCGACAGAGACGATCACAAAACGCACCAAACCTTGAGAAACTCCTCTCCCGAGAGCTACTCACTGTGACGGCATGCGGGAGAGATGGTATGAGATCAATCGTCACTCCAAGAGAACATATGAGTAACGTTATGTTTCTGTTCATTCTCATTCCACCCATCCTTTCCCTTTTTTTATCAGGTCCCTTTTTCAGATCTTCACATCTTAAACTCTCAGCCTTGAGGACTTCAAGGCTGAAGAGCCCCGGGAGACCTTCGCGGATTTCACCTGGTCCTTTGATGCGGAACGTTTGGCACGGATTCAACGTGCCCCGGGGGTTTCGCCGGTTTCGGTTGGCCTCCAAACGTCCAGAGCGGTGAGCTCCACGGTTACGACAGAACCAGGTTCGGATACGACACACGGTCGTTCCAGGATCGGGGATTGAGAAACTCAGCCTGATCATTGGAGCAGGACCTCTTTTTGACCTGTTGGTGTCGGTGTCAGGTCTCGGCACCGCCGTTCTATCCGGCTTGGACAAGACACAGGGCCCCTCTCCGGACCCTTGAAGTCATCTGACCATGGGATCATTTGCAGATCCAATGTCGAGCGGAAGCGCTCGTACCAGGGGGTGCCCAGCCCGCACAATCTTTGCACTCTCGGAGTGACAGATGTTTTTTGTTTTGCGTGTTCTCGAACACTGCGTTTTTGGTGGTACAGAGGACAGAAGTCTTGCCAGGGCCATTGTCCACTTGGAGTGTTGTTCCGAAGGGTTGTCAATTTATGGGTTTTGGGTCACTTAATTACTTCTTGCTTCCAAACGAGTCCTCCGCCTGCACTTGGCCTTCCAGCCACGGGTTTAAACGAGTCCTCCTTGCACTTGGCCTTCCAGCCACGGATTTGAACAGCCGCTAGTCTGACTCATAATGGTGTTGACGAACAAGAGATAACCAAACCAGCTCATGCCAGCTCAACCTTTCTTGGTTCTAAGCTTCTCGAGTGCAAGTTTTGACTCATTGCCCCGGACGCGGCGGTCTTTCTTAACTCAAAGATCTTGATTCTTGATGCTCACCTTATAAGCTCAAATTATCGTGAGTCATTCGAATTGAGACTTGAATTGCTCTGAATTGGGCCTTTCGCATCTATGGGTTGGCCACGCTTGTGGGTCCAGAGCTGGGATGTCCCACATTTGGGGGTTGGGTGCTGTGTGGCTCCGTCCCCAGATCTCATTGGCGGACAGAGGGAGGTCGGACTGCCAGTGAGGCCCCGAACTGTTTGGTCTTCGGAGGGTTTTCCAGCCAAACCCCCATTCAGGGGAAGGAGGGAGTCGAAGAAATGCCACGCAGGTATCCAAGAGCGCGCCTTAGAAGCGGAGTTGGCAGGAGCACGGGTTCGCTTCCCCTCGTCGGGAGCGCTCTCGACGAGTGACAAGACGGTCGCGGCGGCCCACGGCCGGTCGGACATGCTCCGGTCGGACATGCTGGAAGAAGCATGTGGGAGGTGCAGAGTTCAGAGCACTAGTAGATGCTAGAAAGATCCAGATTCAGCAACTGGCTTGGACCATGATCCTAAGACGTCCATTCTGTGAACTTTGATGGTTCGTGGCATCCAGTCACCCAACTGCACCAGAGTTGAAAACCCAACGTCCTGTCCTTCCACCCGGGGCCGTGTAGGACGTTTCCGTCCCGGAGCCACCGTGGCCGCCCTGTGTCTCGATGTGCGGGTGCCTGGAGAGGTGGGCGTTGGGGCCAAACGCGGTGGTTTGAGTTTGCGCATCTATACTGTAGTAACAAGTGCCACGCTAGTAGTAACAAGTGCCTTACTAGTAGTAACAAGAAAG